GTGAATCACRAACAAATCACGATCAAGTCTCACCATCTTCCTCCTGGGGGAGAATACAGCATCCAAGGGTTTGAGCTACACGGACACACGCTCTAAAGAAAACATTTCTTGATTGCGGTTTGACACGCGTTTTCTTGCTCTTCTTATTATAACCTTTTCGTTTTGGCATACTTCTGAAACGACAAACAATCAAAAAATGAGAAATAACGATGGTTTCTGGAAAGTTCCCGCTCTGTCAAAAGATTAGGACATGTATTGCACAAATCGATGCAGATTTTGCCCGCGAATTTCGCCGGCAGCTCATTCAATAGACTTTCTTTACTAAATATGATTCATGAAATTGYATGGCAATTCTCTTCAAGATTTTCATTCCGCAACGTAATTGCTGAATGCGCGATGCGTAAAAGCGAGAAATGTTGGAAACAATGCAAGTTCCTCTTAGGAGGAAAACTCACCTTAAATTTCACTTTCAAGTGYTAAAAGAGTTAATCAATCTCCGTAAAAAGACTTTGCAAATACTTTKCTAGTTGATAAGGTATTAGCTAAACAACCGACTTGAACGAGCTWGTTCTAATTTGATAATTCAATTATGACGTAGCTTTTTGATTGATGTTTTCCTCGAAAAGGATTTTGGGTAGCGCGCGCTCAAAGTTCAAGACAGTTTTGAAATAAAGTTTAATTAAAGTTACTTCTTGTTAGGTGACCATGCACAAAAGAATTGTAAAACAGGTTGCACGGTTATAAAATAATAACTTTTACCATCATTTATCTGAATGTTTTTATCATTAAGCGACATATCAAAGAAWTGTGTATCATTTGTGCGGGATMCCTGTGCTTTTTAGTTTTGGGCTTCCTTTACAAAATCTTTGCCATATATGGAAACAAACAAAATGGTCGATTGTTGAGAAGTGTTTTCGTTAATTTCGCTATAATATCTGCAAGTTTTAGACGATTTCATGCTTTCAAGTCCAGAAAATCGCMAAAAAACAGTCCTATCGTACTTCCAACTAAGGTAAGATTACCATATATAGYTGCTAAACGAAGGACAACTTTTYAGGGGCAATTCTTTTCGAAAATTGAACAKTAGGATTGCGTTGGGCATAATGCAATTGTACAATTGTACAATTGTACTCTGRGAATTTAAAAAGTTGAGGTTTCGCATTTTAGAAAGAAAARGTACATTTTTCAGTTAAAAAAGAAAGGGAAGAAAACAGAATTATAAAAGAGGTGCTCGAGTCGAGAATCGAACCATCAATCCTCAGTACGAAGCCGCTTTTCAAATATAAGCTTAATCATGTCTGTAAAATCGAAGAAAACCACTCGAAAAGAATAATTAATGAAACAAATAGTAGACCCCTTGCAATTCCAACTGGAGGACAAATGAATAGATTCTAGTTCCCAAGAGGGCAAAAATCTTTTGTTTTCTTCTCCAGATGTTGCCAGTGCTTTGACGTTACATGCAAGGGGTCTATAGCATGGGAAA